GCCCTCACGCGCGGAAAGACATGCACGCTTCACGGGTCGTCGGCGTACGGTCTCCCCTGAGCACGCCCGACGCCGCTGCAGCCGTTCTCGATCTCCGACTGTGCCTCGCGTCCGGGCTAGATCCATCGAGGGATCGGTTCCTACTAGGGTTTCGACGAAGGCACGCTCCGTCAACTCCTCGGATCCACGCGTGGCAGGCGTAGGCCCTCCGATGGCTCGATTGCCTGAAACGCCTTCACGCGCGCAGAGAGCTGCGCGTCTTTTGGATCGTAGGGCTGCGACCTCCCCTGAGCGCGGTCGACGACGCCGCAGTCGCTCTGCGTCCCCGAACGGACCTCGCACCCGCCCAAGTCGACCCACGTCAAGGCGCCGTAGTCGCGGCCGTGCAGGGCCTGGGCCGGGCCTGTCCACTGTGATTGAGGGTGCGGTCGATGCATCAGCAGTAGAGCGAATGACCTTGCCACTCGGCGAGGTCGCCCCACAGTCGTTGGATTCGAGCGAGTCTGCGTCGGCCAGCCATACAGCCTTGTCGTCTTTGCAGGTGTCAGACACGCCCGCGCGTGGTGTACTGGAGTCGGGCATGAGCAGCAAGGATCAAGCTGAAGTGACCATCGAGCCAACAGAACAGGCCACTGGCACCGGGCCAGGAGAACATGCCACCGCGGTCAGCCAAGACAGTTCACCGCAATACCTTCACTTGATTCGAGGAAGCTCACCTGATGGGCGGATTTTGCAACCACAGCCACCTGACGCCTCTGCCGCTGAACCCAGCACCGCGCGTGGCGGGCACAACGCGCTGCAGCGTCACCGGAGCGCGTCAATGGACGACAGGCCTCGTCATGGCGGGCTGGTGCCTTCAGGAGCTGATGTTCGTCTGTTGCGGCCATCGTACCCACTCGTCGCTCCGCGTGATGACGGAGCTGATCATCGAACAGCTCTGAGCGAAGGGCGAATAGTTCAAGGCGGTCGGAGTGACATCGCGGAACTTGTACCCGGTTCGTTTGGCGATTATCCCCGTGTTGTGATTCTGATTGTGTCAATCTGCAGCTTTGCGCAATGAAGAGGCCGCGTCAATTTCTTACGCTACGTATCCTGCTGGTCGTGTCACAAACACAGATGAAGAGATAGTGTATGCCACCGGCGCGCGTCATATGCATGTCCAATCCCCGGGCTATGTAAATTTGGAACCAGTTTCTTCAGACAGTCAACGCGAAGGATCGCAGGCTGAAACCTCTAACGTCGCTTTGCAGCAACCAAGCCACGACCGTGTGGGCTCCAGCTCTAGGCATCATTCCTTGAGCAGAGCCGCCTCCTCTGATGCTCCAGCCGCCGGAGATGTGGGCCCTGGGGTTGGTTGGACAGGATATGTAGAGAGCGTGCTGGATGGTCCACTTGGAGAATCGAGCAATGCCCGTTCTGACGCTCGCAGCGAGGTACGCCGTGTCGTTCTCCTTGAGGGGGCAATATATTGAATACAAGCTTCAGCCTCGCGCCGATGACGACGTAATTGTGTTGGGAGAGCGTCACGAAACACCGTTGTCGGACGCTCATATCTCTACGGTGCCGGTCGCTCATGTCGACGACACCATATTATATCCGCGTGAGGAGGAACACGATGCGGCCGACGGCGAGTCACCAACTAGACCGCCCGTCCTGGAATTGAACTCGATGCCTAGCGGCTCCACGCTAGCCTCTTACGGACTAGTTACGCTCAGCGTAGGCGAAGACACATCGTCGGCATTGACTCAGATACCAGCGCTGGCTGAATCGCGCGCTGGTATGGGCTCACACGGCGCACGGCGCATTCGCCAGCCGACACCTGGAGGGATGGTCCCCGGTCCTCATTTCCTGAACACCCCGCTCGAATCCTCTCGGGAATCTGGCCATAACCGCCACCAAACGTCCGCAGGAGGTACTATCTCACCGGAGAGGCCGAGCCTCGATCGCCGGAACCGAGCTATTTCGTTGTTGGATGGGATTACCTCGTTGATTAGCCGCGTATCGGGGTCGTCTCCTTCAGCCTCAGGCTCCGGGATAATACCGGGGCCTACAGCGTTCGGCTCGTCTTCCGTGAATACGGTTCACCAGACCCAGCACGCACCGGGCTCCGATGTCGATGTATCCCTCCCCGCGCAGGGCGATGATGTGCCACCACGTCCCCGGAAGCCCGCATTCAACAGCCCGCATTTTGACAGTTTCCTCGAACCGACCGCCCGTACACCGGATGACGCAATGATTGGGCCTCCAGGTCGAGCGGCAGCTACGGGCGCTGGCGACCTCCTACTATCGGAACGGAACACACCGCGCGACATTGACCGACTCCTTGCGAGACAGCAGCGCGGTCCTCCAGTGACTGACGAAGACGTGGATATGGGTTCGGATCGCCAGATGCCTATCAACCGTGATGTCATGGAAAACGAGATCGTCCCCGATGTTGCGGAAGGCATCCCAGACGGCCATGCCGCTGCATCCACGCAAGACGTCCAGATGGCCGACGAGGACCTCGGATGCAGCCGAGAAGAACCAGTCAGTGAATTCCCCGGCCCAGAGGCGAGGCGCACACAGAGTCCCTCAGTTACTCAAGACGCGCCCAACCAAGTCGACGCCCGTCCTGCACAGCAGAACGGTGTCGACCCAGACAGCGCTGAAATCCATAGGCCCGAGCCTTCAGGAGGGCACACCTGGGGCGGTCGTACTGTGAGTGTGAACGCGATTCCCGAGCGTCGTTGATTAACGTCTGCGCGTAGGTCATACCTGCGTCTCGAGACGACATTCACCGGATCGACAAGGAGATGGGCGCCATTCACGGGGAGGTCAAGGCGATAAGAGAAGTACTAACGAGCAAGCTTGGAAAAGGAAAAGGAAAAGGCAGAGCAGAGAATGACTCGGATGCTGACGATGAAAGCGACGAACCGAGTCTGCCACTCAAGCGACCCAAGAAGTATGGATTTCCTAAGCGCCGACCTGCGGATGCAACGGAACTCGCGGTGCGATTCCTCATACTTCAATCCCACAAAGTTAGCTTAACTCGTTGTCAGTCTGATGTTCGGAGCCACACCCGTGTGCTCATGAAGCGCGAGACGCGTGACTCCCGTATCCGGCGTCGATCAGTCGCGACACCGGAAGAGCTTGAAGGCTTCCAAGAAGGCCGCTGTTGTACTGCGAAGAAGTTCAAACTAGACTTGAAGGGCACGGCGGCCAACAAATGGAACAAGTCCGCAACGGAGGTGTTTACTGACAATTTCCTAGAATGCAAGCAATACCAGTGTAAGAAGAGGTCAGAGATATCGGCGGCGTTTAGGTCCCACTTGCGGGGGCTAATCAAGAAGTACGAGGAGCAACTGTTGAAACCGACCCCGGAAGCCGTCCTTGCGAAGAAATGGCAGCACAGTCGCCTGCAGCGGAAGCAGAACGTGAGTGTCTCAGTATCATGGGTTGCATGATACCTAAGTCATGAGCATAGAAATTTCAACGGCGACTCGCCTCTTGTCTAATGTACGACCAGCTGCTCCCTCATCAAGAATTCTTGAGAATTCTTGGTCCCAACGGCATGAGCTCGGACGAGCCTGACAGTACCCCAGGACAGTTCCGTGTGCTGCTTAAGCCGTGGAGACAATCGCAAATCTCTCGGTTTATGGGTGTCTTCGATGCTGCATACGAAAGATACAGGGCTCCACCAGGCCTGCCGGTGACGCGCGGTGCCTTGCCCGGTCGCCGCGTAGCCTCTGATCCAGTCGCAATCGACGACAACCAACCGGCCGTCAAGGGACTACCGATCAACGCCTATGACCCGCATTGGTATGGTCGGCTTTCAAGCATCCAGAAACAAGAATTGTGCGTCGTCTCTAAGCCTTACGACTTCAGCATCGAGTCCGACTTCTTGCGGTGAGGGTGTACTATTTCTTGACATGCGTAACCACGTCTGACAGCTACACATCAGGGATATGGGTCTGCGACCTATCGTTTGGCCCAGTCTGATATCAGACAGTGCGCTTGAAGAGGAACCTGAAAACGCGGAAGCGGGGCCGAGCAACTTGCGGCGATAGGGACTTATGTTGGCACTCGCGACGATCGGGCGCATGGTACGTATGTGGCGTGGACAGTAGGCGGCATGGAGACAGTATGTGGCGTGGGGACAGTACACTACATCGACGCGTACACCTTGGAGAAAGCTATGTCATTATAATGGTATGAGTCAATGCCGGGGCCGTATCCGAGGTGTCAAACGCGCACGAGTCTGGCTGTGCGTCTGAGACTGATACTGACCGCGCATCCTCCGAGTGGCTCAACATGTACACGCAGACTCAGGGGGTCGCATGCAGCCATACCAGCGCGCCTCGCGCATGGAACTGAGTCGTTCCGGAGCGTACTAGATATGGCGAGGCTGTGTTTTGGTTTTTGCTTTTGTTCTCACTGACAATACAAGCCTTCCTTCAGGTCGGCGAATGCTACACGTCAGCGCATTGCCATGGACAATGCGCGGTGACATCTCGTCCTGATGCATATGTATGTGCCATGTGGCTGGTGCTTATTGCAGGCCGTATTGTTCCCAAGTCTTAAAGTTTCTCGCGATCGCACCCCCTCTCTACGCAACGCGTACAACAAAGCCCTCGCTGGAGCCAGTACAGACCGCGGCACCGAACACCATGTTGGGTTTCAAGCCTGCAAGAACGCCATTTTCGTCAGTGGAGCGGTACGTGCCAGTTCCGTTGAATGGCATGGGTTTATTGACATTGCCGTATAGTAGGGATGAAAGTCAACTGATCAAAAAGCGTTACCGGGAGACGGATGATGCGTTTGACGAAGGAGGTCAATCAGCTCCGGATCCACACTCCCCTCGATGTGACTATAGTCCAATGAGCACTGTGAACATGCGCGATCAACCGAAGTCAAAGCGCAGATGCTTGTCTCCCTGTTCTGTGCCGACGAGCGACGACTACATGTAGGTGTCTTTTGCAGTATCACGTATGAGCTGCAGCAAACAACGGCATCTCAACAGCATGTCCGACCGAAATCAAGAGCCTGAGGTCGTCGCCAGCAGTGGTAGTGCAGACACTGCGTGCGGGACCGTCACGGTTGCGACTGGATCAGCAATGCCCGACGCAGCGTCGTACCTTTCCTATCCCCGGTCGTCCGGCACAGTTCCAATTTCAGCCCCTGGTGTTGGTCCGTCGCACGATGTCGCGCAGGCTGCTTGGGCCGCAGACTTGGTCACTGTCTACGAGGTCAGAATTGTTGTACGCGTCGCGTAGTATTCATGCGCTTATCTTGACGTTGATAGCGCCTGGACAGCCTGACGTGCCGGATATCATGCGTTCAGGCCGATATGTACGAGGTAATGAGTATCCTGGCTGATATCAAGATGCAACTGTCCGAGCGCGGACTCCGTGGTTAGGTCAGTGTAGGCCTGCTTGTCGATCGCGATCCATGCAGAAACACTCACCTTTTGTTGCTGCGTTTAGTACTGGCAATACCTGTAGAGCCTGCAAATTGCATCGTTTTCGAATTCATGAAAACTGAAAATGTCTGTGTGCGGGCCGGGAGAGTGCAATGCGCGTATGTGTATTATGTGTATATGCCATAGTAGTATAAGCTTAAGTACACCGGCGTAGTCTCCGGGATGGCAAACCCCGTTCTCGTCAATCAAGGCGCACACAACGCGAATGGATCCGACGCCGTGCACGAAGGACCGCCAAGCTCCTCGAGTGCCTGCATAGTAATCGTTATTCTAACTAGAAGAGGACGCGCGCAGGAGGAGATTAGGCGCGCATCGCTCTCCTCACTTCGTCGGTCGTCTCAAAAGCCCAGCTACAGCTAAGTACCCGCTTTCGATCCTCTCTCGCTTTCCTATATAAGTTACAACAACTCTAGACTACATCAGACGAGCATCGGCGGCAGGCGCAGGCAGCTACATAGCTTCGCCGGGGGAGCAGGCGAGGGACTCTAGCCAAGAAATCCAAGGCGAGCTGGTCTCTCCCGCGCCAGGCCACGACACTGTGATTGACGCGTCCTACGCGTGGTAAGCTCCTCAAATACTTCACCGAGCACCGAGCGCAACGACCGCTCCGCAACGAAGGTCAGGCGACCTGGAGAGGAAGACGAGCACCGCTCGTCGGCAACGCAGAGCCCTGGGACACTCGGTGTTAGGAAGACCCGTACGAGCTCGACGGAGGACATACCGGGTGCCCTCGCTGCGGACAAGGTCATTCTTGCGGAGGGTGCGTTATCCCACTTCTGGGACTCGGAGATCAGTGCGGACAGCGCAGCTGCGATGTACGCAGAGGAGAGCAAGTGCACGATCCACGCGAGGCTGTGAAACGGGTTCTACCCTGCACTTGCACGCTGCCATACTGCGCTGACGTTGATCAACCCAGAGACAGGCGCGACCCGGTACAAGGTGCACTAGCAGAGCCTCGACGAGGCGGTGCTGATCGGACGCGGACGCGGGCACGGGGAACATAGCTTGTATAGGACGTCGTGACACTTTCCACTACAAGTAAGTATCGCGAGTACGACACTACGCAACGGCGACGAGCGCCGAGTCGTCACGACACAGAGATTCAGGCGGAAGATTACGTGTCCCGACTTCAGGCGATCCGCAAGCAAGTGATTGAGCAGCTAGACAGCACGCACGGCGGGTTCGGGCGAAGTTCCCGCAAGTGGCGACCACGACCGGGTTCCTCACGCGCTTCGCCGCTGCTGAGCGGCGTCCCTCCGACACCAAGTTCGCGTCAAGTGCCGGCACCGCTACCAAATCACCGAACGTGGAAGGTTTGGGGCTACTTGGACGCAGAGCCGCACGAAGCTGCAGACTTAGAGGTCGAGACGGACCACCCGGCGAAGACAGCAGACGGTGGAGAAGGCAGCGTTTACGATAGGGAAGGTAAATGCGGGTGGTGTGCACGACCACGTCGGTGGCTGGGTCGGCGGCGCGGTACTCGGTCGACGAGCGGTGGCATGTGCCGCATCTCGAGAAGATGCTCTACGACCAGGCCCAACTCCTCCGCTCTATGCTCTATGCTCAGTCGAGCTGTACCTCCGAGTCCTGCTCCCGGAGACTTACACACAGTGCGCGTCGCTCATCGGGTTCACGCGCTCGAGCCTTGCGCACCCCCTCCGTGCTGACGAGCCCCGACGGCGAATTCTCCAGCGCGGACCGGATGATGCAGACTCGCTCACGACCTTCAAAAGCACGAAGAAGCGCGAGGGCGCGTTCTACACGCGGACGGTTTGAGAGGGCTGACTGACATGGTACAGGATAGTTCAGGCGTAGGCCATGTCGACGGAGCATGGGCCGACCCGCCAACTCGATCGGTCATAACCACGATGCATGATGGCGGCAGTTCGTCCCCGCATTCCCAACGGCTGCTGAGGTACGTCGCAGACATGTTCGTTCCCTTTTCTTTACTTCCCCTTTCATTACCTCGTAACTCGTCCTTCGCTAACTATCGTTCTGCTGTCGATGCGGTATAATGGCTCGGCGTGTCCATCGCCGTTAAGCTTTCGAGCTCTACGTGCGCCGTTGTACGTTTGTTTGATGTCCGTCTGAGAACAGAGGGACAGACCTGGGTAAGCTGTCCAAGACTTCGGGTGTGCAGCACACGGAACGAGCCTGTGCGTTATACCGCAAAGAAAAAACGTGACGCCAAAGTGTCGCCCAAACGCTAGCAATGTACGCCGCCATGGTTCAGCTACGAGGAGATGCTACCTTTCAAGAAGGGAGATGCTACGATTAAAGAAGACCCTCTCCTAGGCTGACGTGTACGTGTACGGTCTGTGCACGTATACGTGTATACGTGTATATCACAACAAGCACTTCTTTGTCTGCCACTCGGCGCAGAGCCCGGACGGATGTCTCCATTGGTACGTACGATCGTACCTGGGCCCACCTTACCCCTAGAGGTGACGCGGGAACTCAGCCTCCTAGTCGACTTGAAGGTGCCAGCAATAGTCGATTTCTTTCTGCTGTACATGTTGACGAAGGTCCACGTCTGCTCTCAATGACGTGGCATGCTAACGTGTATGCCAACGTGTATGCTAACGTGTATGCTAACGTGTATCTTCCTCCTGCAGGTCAGATGTACACCACATGGCCACGGACGTTTGTCTAAGCCCGCACAATGGACAAGCATACCCGAAGGCGTGCGCGTCTCTAGGTGCGCCGAACTATAAAGCAAGGCCGTTTGTCGCGGTGTCATACTCACAACACTCTCTTCTCTTCCTCAACATGGCTCAAGCTCTCACCGATATAGACTTATCAAACTACGATATCGTCTTGACAAATCAAAGGCTAGATCCCTCATCTGTGCCCACCAGTACTCAGGTCCACCTGGAGGTATTGGCGAAAGTAGTGAGTGGTGACCTTATTTCCTGTATCTCAACTTCTGATGATTATTGCACCGGCTGTTTGCAGCGCCGCCTTACCCTTGACGGTGCCGCCGCCTTGGCCGTCTTTACAACCACGCCATCCTCGGAATTTGAGCCGTTTCCTTACAACCCAGAGCCAGCCACTCCCCACGCTGGAGGCAACACTGCCCGGGGCGATGGAGTAGGTGTGGGCAGAGACGCTGCCGAAGGACAACGCGCTGCTGCAGAAGGCGCCACTAAGGAGAACGACAGCGGTGTCGGTCCTCAGCACGACGATGATCTCGGCGCGAACCCCGCGTCGCTCGACGGTAGCGCTGTACAGGGAACGATACGGCTTTCATTTCAATCGGACGAACAATTCTGGGATATGATGAGTCGCAGGGCCTGCGGTACGTGCACCTCATTTCGGTCGCGCCCCAGCTGACGATTGGCGGCAGAATACATAGAATGCAGTCCGGCGAAGTTCAGGGAGGCCAAGGAAGTATACATCGTCAAGATGGCGGTACGTGTGTGTTTGCTGCATAATCATATACAATCTCTGAATCGGAGCTTGTAGACTCCAGGTAGCTGGGTCATTACCTTGTTTGTGCGCAAGGAAGTGGAGGGACGCGCTGTGAGCCACCTCGTCAACCCTATTCTGGCTCATACGCCGCTCTGAAACGATGGCCGTCGGTTTGGCGGGGTCGAGGCCGGTGGTCTTTGCATCAGACGTGTTCGCGTCGACGCAGTAGTGTGCTCGTCGCCGGGTGGCCGGGTGAATGTATGTTATGCGTGCGATGTATGTACAAGTAGTGAACCCAGTGCTCCAGTGATGCTCGCGAATCAATCAATTGCGTACGATATGACTCTGAGCTTGTACGAGGAACCAAAAACGAGCACAATTGGCCTCGAGTGGCCCCGGCGCTTCCCTGTTCTCGACAATACGCCCATGACTGCAACACGGTCGCCCGATTGAACATCACAACGGCCCTCGCGCGCACAGCCTCAACGCGTTAGCTAGTCCTCTGCCACGATTCAGCTAGTAGCACCACGGCGGCGCTCCAGGCATCTCGTGCATCGAGTCTCGATGGCCGCTCGCCCTCTAGAGCTCTACCCCGAGCCACTCCGGAACGAGCGACTCCGGAACGAGCGCGAGGACCGTTCACGACCCTGGTGCAAGGCGACTCAGGATGCGGATGCGGCCAGGCCTAGGATGGGAAAAGAGAAGGAGCACCCGTACCGCTGTGACGGGTCTGTACCGAGGCGGGTAAGGGTACAGGTCGATGGGACTCCGGTCAACGGAGAGGATTTCTGGCACACGGTGCGTCGTAGAAAGTTGTGAAGTCGTCTCGGTACTCATATATCATACCTCGTCCTAGATGCGACTGAGCTGGGATTCCATGATACACTTGTCTGCCCTGCCAGTGGCGTCCGTTACGTCTGCCTTCCTGTTCGCCACATCCATCCTGCCGTCCACCGAGCTTGCGCCATCAGCGTGTACGTGCCCTCGACCGTCCCGCTGGGCCTATTCTACGCAGCTCTCACGCTGTACATCGCCTCGCTCGTCCTAGTCGCGATCACCCCATGTGGGCTGCCACTGCACTTCCCGCCGGAGCAGATCTTCCCGGGGAAGGTCACCGCGAAGACTGGCGACCTGCGGATCGTGCTCGCGGGCATGCGCGCGACGACGATCTTCCGGAACATGCGCGGCGCGATGAAGAAGCACCATCTGCGTGCTCCGGAGTCGGCGGCCGCAGAGAACGGTGCCACCGACAGTGCGAATGCGGAAAACGGGGAGTTGAAGAGCGACGAAGACGGCGTCTTGGGCAAGGGTCGGATGTGGATCGCGTCAATGAATTCGCATGGCACTTGTTTACGTTGTTTGGTATACACCCTGTCGCCCCTCTCCCTTTGTGTGCGTCGGCGCGGGCGCTTGCGGTCTCTGGTCCGCTCTCCCGCTGCGGTGTCTACGGTGCATCGCCTGCCCTGATCGTACACCCTGCCTGTCGACGTCCGCTCGCCCGCTTCAATCCTTCCACATCGGGCAGCCGCGCCGAGGTTGCAGGCAGGCTGTGAGGTCCTGCGCACGTTCTCAATACACAGATTTGATGAGGTGGCCGAGCCCGCATCTGTCGCTCGCGTCTGCGGTAACACGACGGACGAGTAAGTAAAGTACGCGACTCTCTCGCAAGCGGTCCATTACTTATCTTCGTTGTTTGCTTCGGTAGACATGTCCCGGCTTCGGCATAGCGGTAGCTAGGAAAACAACAGATGGCACCAACATCAGGCTCGCGTACGGTCGCAGGTCAGCATTTATGGCTGTCACTGACCCAGTGCTCGCCATCTCCACGGCCCCTCCGAGCCATCTAAACTCAGTCAACATGAGTTTTGCGCAGGACGGCGTATACCAGTCGGCGATAACGCGGCATAGTGAGTAATGACCGTTTATGCATGACTATCACTGACCACTCACCATCTTTCCATGGGGTTCGCCACGATACGTCGCCCTCGCCCATCAGTGCAATACCGCCTCGTGATGACCGTTTGGCCTGCTGTTTCGCTTGTCGATCTGTCGCATCGCCGATTGCGACGTCCCCCGACATCCGTCAAGAGCCCCCGCGATAGATGCCGTGGCGGGCCACTGAAGGTAGATTCGTGAAGGTCGCAGTTTTTGTATGAAGGTCGGTCCACCGGACGGTGATCTGTCATGGTCTGCACTAAGTTTCGTTGATTCTATTGATTTTGTTGATTTCCATAATGGATTGACTTCACTGAGTTTCATGGATTGTGTTGAATTGAGTACATAGGCTAGCTGTACTGAATTTGGTGGATTGTATTGGATAGACTACATAGGCTGGCTGTACTGAATTTATATGATTGCATGATTGTGATGAACAAAGTACATAGGCTGGTTGTACTGATTTTGTTGAATAGGGTATACAGGCTGTCTGTACTGATTGTGCTGATTTTGTTGAATAGGGTATACAGGTTGTTTGTACTGAAGAAACCACTTAGGCTGGTTGTACTGATTGTGCTGATTTTGTTGAATAGAGTGCACAGGTTGTTTGTGCTGAAAAGACTGCATAGGCTGGTTGTACTGATTGTGCTGATTTAGCTGAACAGAGTATACAAGTTGACTGTGCTGAATAGACCACATAGGTTGGGTGTACTGATTTTGTTGAATGATTGGAAAATGTAGGCTGGTTCAAGTCTGGACCAGATATGAAGGGCTATTTCATTTTGTGATTACTATGAGTCCATCTGATTGATTTCCAAAGAATACTCATCATGCCACCACTACATACATGTGAGCTATCATAGGATATTCGATTTGAGGCCCAAGTAATGATCATATGTAAGTGGCTGCATTATCCATACTATACTTTTGTGCTCATTTTGATCTCCATACATTGATACATGTGAGCCTCAGTCTGGGCTTACTCAGGGGGTCATTTTGAATATTACCCCAGTAAGACTTAAGTGGCCTCTGAATGACTCCTAGTGTTACATTGTGATTTCATACTGGAGACATTCAGAATGAAATCAAGATGATCCTCATATGCAAGTGGCTGCCTCATGCCAGCTATACCTGGGGTTCATTTTAATTGTGTTCAGCATGAGGCTTGTGAGATACTCTTGGACATATGGTAAGTTTATATAGAATGTGTTCATAATGTTCACCTTGTTTTGCAGCCGTGATGCGGCGTGATTCATTGTAAATTAACCCAACGTATTATCGGCTTAGTTAATGTAGGTAATATGCCGACTCTTTCACCCATAAAATGCGCATGCTGCGCCTTGATTCATTGGGTCACGTCTCCGGTGTTTAGGACTCGCCAAGCAAGCATGTCTGCCCGCCTGCAGTGACCGCGGAAGACGGACGACCTCGCATGTTTTGGTGTCGTAACCAAGTCGTAACGGTAGACGGATTGCGAGTCTGTGAGTACGTGATAGGATCGTTCACAACAAGGATCTTCCGAGCGTATCTGAGTCTCATCAAGCTCGAAAGAAGCCGCAACGGAACTGGCCCGTGACTCACCGGAACGACCGTAGTTGCCCTACAAGCCTCCACCGTCAGTGGCCTCCGCAGATGCAGTTTGCGTCGACTGTCAAGCGTTGTTATGACTCGGATCGCAGGTCGTATGAGCAGCCTAGAAGTAGAGAGAAGAGGATAGGCGGGAGTCGAGCTCACGCGCGTCGAATTAAGACCGCGCCCACCGGAACGGAGGACGGGGACCGACATGCAACGGCTGGAGGCGGCAAGAGTCTGCACGCTATAATCTCGAGTCGTGTCGAGGAGACCTTTGTGCGCATGTTGGTCAGATCCTTGCACGCGAGACGGTGACGCGTATGGCCTTCAGGGGAGCGTGCATCGCGGAACGGCCGTGCACAATCTGCAGAGGGCGGGTACGCTTGAGACGCGACAGGTGGTCGATATCATCGTCGGTGTCGCAGCGGGTGGCCAGTGAGCGAGAGGCGCTCTCTTTCAAGGGAGCGGAGAAGAGAGAGAGGCGGGACGGATGACGTGACTGACGAGAGCGGCCGTGGACACTTCCTCTAGATCCAACGCAGTTAGACACAAGCTACGATACGGTACATTTTTATAATCATGGACGATGCACGCGTACGGTGACGTACGCCTGTGCACACGAACACTCACTGGCAGCGCGTCGCGCATATGCTTGGGTCACCAGGGCAGATCAACCTACACAGTGTTCGACCCTCCGATTCAGGCGGCTCCCTCAGGCTCGTCGATCTCGTCCTCCCCAGGATGCTCCGATTCGTCGGTTCCAGCCTGCACGTTCGCGGGCTTGCTACTGGAGGCTTCAGCCTGAGGGCTGTCGTCGGCTGCCAGGTCCTGCGCGTCGGGCTTCGCGACATTCGCGGTCTTCGTTGGGGGGCCCTTGCTCACTGGCCTGGCACTGGTCGGCTTCACCGCAGACGTCGGGTTCGCCGCAGACGTCGGGTTCGCCGCAGACGCCGGCTTAACCATAGACATCGTCGTCACTGCAGATGCCAATGGAGACACCGATGGAAACGCGGCCCTGTTGCTGAGCTTCGCACGCATCCGCTCGAAGTTGAGGAAGCTCGTGCCCTTGGTGGCAGGCTCAGGTTCGTCGATGTTGCCCAAGTTGAGTCGCCCGCTTTGTGTGCGTGCATAGCAGTGAGTCACCAGCAAGGGTGGACACGTCGGACTCACGAGATGTGGCCCCAGATTTCCTTCTTCGTCTCGTCGTAGTACTCAGGGAGCTCGTCCTGCAGTGTCTCGAGGATCGCCATGAGACTGTCCCACCTGCGACGGAGGGACGTCATGCTGTTGACGGGCGGATAACATGATGTGGATGCTACTTACCTGGCTGCGAACAGCTTGTTCGTGAAGTTAGAATGTCCGTGTTTCACGATCTCCGTGAGCGCCCACTCGATCTGCGAGTGCGACCATTCAGTGCTGGATATGATCGGAAGATCAAAGCAAAGCACGGCCTACTCACAGCATTGCATACCAGGGCTATCAGATTGTCGGGTACCTTGGCGAACTCCTCTATCGCGGCATGCAGATTGGCATCTGCACGCGCTCCCAATGCCCAGTGCTGGAAGATCACCTCGGAGATGGCAGGATGGCGAAAGGGCCCGTCCTCGTTGAAGTGACTTGCCTGCAGCCTCCGGCGTAAGTGATTCGGCGCACGTAGGCTACGCCACTGCCCACCTTTACGTCCAGACGCTTACGACTGTCAAAGACCAGGCTGATGTCGCTAAACACGAAGTTGGGGATATTACGGGATCCCGTGCCGTCGTTGACCTGCGTCGGATGCGCCTTGAGCAGCCAAGCGGCCGCGCTGCTTCTCTGTTCGGCAGACAGCCCACGGAGACCGTACAACGGCTCGATGACGCTCTCCGCCTTCTTCCTCAACTCGTTGCGGAGCTGTGATGCGCAGGCCCAGACCTACGAACGGATCAGCGCGCTCTCTGAAGTTGCAGACTGCGTGTCGCTCACAATAGTAGAGACACGCTTCTGCAGCTCCTTGCGCTCCGCCTTCTCCTCCTTAGTCTCCTTCCTGTCGCTCTTCTTCTTCGGGGCGCGAGCATCTGGAAGCCGGCTTTCAAGGCCCTGATGCGGCGTCCTTCCTTGTCACACGTCTCGTGCGCATCGTTCAAGCTGGCTTCAACGAGGGCATTTTTTTCCGGTAGACGGTCGCTGGGCACCGAGGTCTCCGACGTCCAAGCCGACTTGAGCGCGATGCGCAGACGCAGGCAGTTCTGCGAGGCGGAGACCAGCGCCCTGACGTCGGTCGGAAGGTCGGTCATCTTGGCGCGCTGTTTTTTGGTGCGCGTGCCCATCCGAGTCGACCGTCGACGCGTGCCTTGCCCGTTTGCCGTCTTGGTACGCAAGACCTGCGGGATTAGCGGAATTAGCTCGTACTTCGCTTCTGTGACGCGCAGCTCACCACTACGTCGTCGTCATCGTCAATCTCATCGATTTCACTGCGCTCTTCCTCTTCTCCCTTCTCCGTTTCGCCGTTGTCGTCGTCTGCGTCTGCATCTGCGTCTGCATCATCGTCGCTGACCCCAGCATCGCGATCGTCATCGCTCTTGTCAGCATCACTTGCGCTGATTGGCTTCGTAGCCGTTGCTTTGCTGACTACTCTAGAGACATCTTTACCCTTGCCGCTCGCAGCTGTCTGCGACATCTTGTCGCTCCCGCGAAGCTGTGAATGTCTGCAATGAGCGTCGTGCATGTGGGAGACGAAGAAGCGATGGAGCTAGGTACCTTGTTTTTACTCGAGAGACCAGGCTGCGCCTTCTTCGCGGCTTGCGTAGCCTGCTGACTTTCGTCGCCGCTGTTGCTCCTGTCTTCGGAATTTTCGCTGGGCTGTCTGGCCTTCGACATCGTCGTCATCTGGCCTGCCGGGTAGTTAACCTAGTATCGAACATAAATCATCGCTACGGTAGTTAGTGAGCGCACCGAGTGACTGAGCAACCGCAGCCTCATCGTCGTCCAGGTCGAATGAGCTTTTCGCCAGTTTTGCAGGTGGTTTCAGTGTAACCTTGCCGGCCAGCTTTCGCTTAGGCTTGGACTTAGGCTGTGCCTTGGCTTTAATAGTAAGGCATATAACATCAGAAGGAATCTATCGCTGCAAAAATACCACAGACGTACGCTGGGACGCAACTGTTCTCGACTTCCGGCTCTTGTTCTTCTGTCCCTCTGAGTCATTCCCACTTTCTTCGTCCTCGCCTTTGGTGATCTCGTCGTTGACATGTACATCTTCGCCGACTATAGCGTGCTCCGCTTCATCAGAGTCTTGAACCACTTTCTTCTTCTTGTACTTGCGAGGCTGCCGCTCTTCTTCGCTCGAGTCCTGGCGATCTGCGTTCATAATCGCGGCGGATCTCTTGCGCGTGTCTGACGCTGCCTCGTTGACGCAAATCAATGCAAACCAAGCGTCACTCACTTTTCTGGAGCGACACCTTTGCGCTCTTGGTGGCCCCCTTCGCCATCTCGCGAAGCTGGGCGAGAGCCTGCCTGTCCGCAAGAGACAGGCGAGACGAGTCGATGGTCGGGATATCCGAGTCGCTTCCTGACGACGCCTCGCTGGCTTGCTCTCGAGCCTTTGCACGATCTTGTTTGCCGGCGCCTCGCCTGGAGGTGGAGCGTTCGTCTGTAGCGGATGCTTGTTTTCGAGCGGCGGAGCCAGTGCGTGGTCCCATTCTGGCAGTGCGTGGAACACAGAAGCTGGCAGCGAGTAGAATGCGAACCGAGGATGAGGCAAAGTGAAAACCGGACGTACCCGAACTAAGCCGGGACCTGTCCAGAGAAGGTCCTGACAGCTGCTGTCAACGGCGACGCAAGCAATTGAAACACGCAACGCTAGTCTGTGGGCAGGTACATTAGTCATCTGAGTCTGCCTCAATCTGCCGTCAGTTGTGATGCTACATTGCTACTGCAGTCTCAGCCGCTCCTCCGCAGCCACCAGCGAGAAGCCCCTTTGTGGCGTGACCGCGTCCATCTCCGGACGCGCGTGGGTGGCGCAAACGCGTTGACGCATACCGCCGCGACCACCTCGCCCGCCGTCCATCCCGCGCATCATTCCTCTCAGGTTATAGCCTGTTCCTGTCCGACGATAGCCTTCCTGCGCGCCGCCGACTACACCGCCCACACTTGTACGCCCTTCGCTCCGCCCCCGCCCTCCATCAAGGCCATCCACGCAGCCGTGCCAAAGCACCTCTTTGCGTGGTCGACGCCAGGTCGTATGTTCTATGTGGTTGCCACGTCTTCCTCACCGACGGCTTCTGTCCGTTCGCAATGCAAATGATGTGCTCGTGTCGGTGCTGCTTGGTCCCTCCGGCGCAAGAGGAGCGCACGCGTTGAGGTCATGCTGGAGTGGGTGATGTGGGCGACGTATTGGTTCTGGCAGACTCGGACCGTCGTATTCATGGGCATCTGGTGGGCATCCCGTTGTTGGTGCTTGTGCATCTACGAGACAAGACTCCCACTGACCGCCCGCACTTACCACAGGACACGAGGTGTGCAGACCCGGCTATCCTACCCCCCCCAAGTTGGCCGCCACCTCGCCGCCTGGTCCGACCTCGATCTGCACCCAGTGCGGCCGTGACGCGCTTTCGCGAAGCTGCGGGTGAATGCCGTCCTCGGGATGGGCCTCCTCACGTCGTACCGTACTCAGGCTGGGCCTGGCGGCCAACCTAGCGGTCGCACCATGTGAGTCTTTCCGCCGAGTACGCGGTCCCGAAGTCTCTTCTCTTTGGAGCGTCTCCGGGACTTTAATGTGAATGCTGATGGCGGTCATATTACACAGAAGGGCATGAGCAGCCTCCATCACGACGAGACGTATCGCCTGCAGACGCGCGAGGACTTCGACTTCCCGCCGGAAGGTGCGTCGCGTCTCCGTCGTTGCCATCGCGAATCTCTGAAGACGGGAAAGTAGAGAAGGGGATCGACTACCACGAGACGGTCGGGCAGACACCGCTGTGCACACTTCGGGGGCGGTCCTCCGGCAGATCTTGTATGCTTCCCCGTCTCTGTGCTTCATTTAAGTTGACTGTCGTGTTGTAGGGGATCCCATCTTTACTTTAGTACGTGATCCGATCCGAGACTCGCGGTCGTCTCACTGTTGACTGACACGCGCGCGTTCGCAGACGTAACCGCAAGGGAACCTGAAGTAACCCCCCGGACGAGTGTATGTTGCGTGCCGCTTGCTATAGCGCACTGACGAGCACCATCGCGCGAACAAGCCGAGCTCGCAGCTAGGAATTCGATTAGCATATATCCCAGCAAGGTGCTGCGAATGGTGAACATCGACTTGCGTGCGAGATAAAGGCACAGGTCGCCCGCAATCGATGGTCGACCCACTCCCTCGCTCGCTTGTGCAGGATGTCACACTGGTCCGCACGAGGCCCTCCGCTTACAACACTCGGAATGCTGATACGTCCTGGACAGGGTATTTATCGTCGTCTCGGATGTTCTGATCGCGAGGAGGCTTGTGGTCCTCGGCGTTTGGAGAGGGAACTTGCATTAGGGGAAGGTGTACCTCGCGCCGTGGCTGGTACGTCCCTCCGCTTCATTTGTTGCCCAGCGGGTCTCATCCACGTCATCAATAGTGGACCAGCAACTGATGAGCATATCCCGTTCACGAGACAAGGAGATGCTGACGGCGTTGCTGGCGGATCAGGATCCTTACGGTGACGTACCTCCAGCACTCGCACCCGACGGTACCGTATTACATAGTGCGTTGCTGGTGCGTTGAGAAGCCGGATGAACGCGTGCTGACCTTTATGCATCTAGAGCTCGTATTTGATCGAACTACCGGCCAGAAGGAGGTATGGCGCCTGGCGGAACATGTAGACGATTCCGTGTGCGTGTCTCCACCTGACGCAAATCAGATCAATGCGGCACGCATCGCTGGACATACGGTACATACGGCCGCAGCGGACGAGGCTGTCTTCGCCCATGGTCCCTGACGACACCCGACGTCACCCGGTTCTATCGCGTTGTCTACCCAACTCTCCTGGCTGCCTCGCAGAATACCGCCTATTTATGGGACTTGCCTTCAGCTTGGGCTTGAGCGTGAGACCGCAGTCTACCGCATTGAACGTTTGAGCCCGGCCGGCCAGTCACGCGTACGGCACTCAGCACTCTCTCCTCTGCTTCGCTCGTCCGTCTCACTGTCATTCGTGCTTTGCAAGACCTGGAGCTCTTGGGCCCCATACTGGACGGGGAGCTTAGGATCAGCGCTGGTTCTAGCACCAGCCGTATGTTTGCGCCCACACGTCCCCGGCCCATCTCCCCGTACTCTCTGATTATTTCTTCCTACAATTACCAGGTGACATCTACCTCCGCCAACTGGCAGCGATCCGCGCCGTCCCCGACCAGCCTGTCGACCGCACACATCACTTGTGAGTCTGTCCGCTGCCTTGCTGTGGTATTTGCGCACGTCCTGATGAGTCCATACTCTGAGACACTCACGATTCTCAGGACCCGAGTTTCTTCGCTCGATGAACGCCTCGTACAGCCCCAATGTTTCCACCGCGAGAGCGATACGACCCTGCGTGTCATACACGCTGGACGAAAGCTGAGCACTGAACTGAGATAACGGATTCGGGCTGCACGTCGAGCGACCAAGAACGGGTGAGTCATCTGTCGATTCAAACGGGGGACTGCGCATTTTGACGGGTGTTGCAGGATCAGCACTCAACGCCTGCCAGTGGTCTTTCCCCTCTCGTCGTCGGAATCTCCGGGTCAGGCAAGGGCACGGAAGCGAAATCCGAACAAGCCATTGGTACGTTCGCATCCGTCGTTCGTGGCACATACTGACTTTCCCGGGCTTTCTTGTACCTCAGCCTAGCGAGGCTCCTTGTTCGCTAATCGGCCTCCCGCATACATCGAGCACATCACTAGCCTGTAGTTCGCCGACACTGGACAAACAGACCTCTGGTGGGACATGAGGGTGGTCCGCCCGCGATGCAATGCGCGATAAAGCGCAACACACCGTCCTCGGTCTTGTGCTGGCCCTCCCGGCGTTGCGTCGTCACTCTTGAGAGGCACCGCAACCATGAAATCACCGGTTCCGCGTCCTCGATGCCTATGCGGTCCCCAGCGGATTAAGACGTAGGCTGAGGTAGCTAATACTCTCAAACGGCAACGCACTCGAAATCGAGATAGTTACCGTCAATCAGAAGAGCTGAGTGCACTCATCATATGTCGCTCGTCCTGCGATTCAACAATGAAAGTCACGGTATGGCACGACGGTTCGACTCGTCAGCCAACCATTTCCTGAGCAAAGCGGTATACTGTCGCTTCTCCGTATCGATGATGAGCGGGCGCTGCTTGAGCGAGCGAGACAGCGGTGGTCTATGGTCTAGTACTCAGCCAGGTGAGTTTTCTTACACCGGGCCGTCTTTGGCATCGCCTCTCATCCGGCGGCAATGTTCAGGGTGTCCGGCTGGCGACTCGAACGGTTGTCATTCCCCGTTCTACTCCCTCCCTAAGCTGTGTCATTCCAGGAGCCAAAAACAAAACGATGAACCTCGATTTCTCAGTGTGGCTACTCGTAAGGCATACATCCTTAGTCGCTGGCAGGGATCCAGTCGGAATGCGGGATGGGGTATGCGATACGCTGGGGCGCCGTTCAGTACGTACGTGTCGCGCTTTCCACCTCGTTACTGACCATCCCGACTACTTGAGGCAATAGGGATTCGCCGTATGTGTCCGATACACGCCGGCGGGCCTCGTGCACTATCTGAGAGGACACGGGCGGAGCCTAGTTTGAATACGAGGACGTATCAGTGCACAGTCTGTTCTGGCTTGTACCACACGTGCGCTTCTTGTCGATGCAAGGGTATACAATATCCGTGTTCTCGACGAGGCGACGTGACGTGTACGGGGGCAGGGGATCCGGGCACTGCGGAATCAAGGACTGCGACGTAACCTTGTACGAAGGTGGCGCAGGACATGCGGCGGACCTGGCACGTACTGCCTCCATCTGGGCTCTTCCAAATAGAATGTCCTTGTCTCCGAGTCCCACCAGCTCGAGTCCTGGGCCGCAGGTTACATCCCTCGTCGGCCCAGCACTTACCGCTGCTGCAAGTCCGCTGTTTCTGTCTCAAGCTCACGCGCCAAACACACTGCCAATAAGTAACAATGCATTACGAGCAATACACGAGGTTACAACATCTATTACAGCAACTGCGAATAACATTGGTCAAATACAGGACAGGCGCGGATGCAACGTACCTCTAAATGATCTGGGAGTCAATCGTCCACGATTACACGTCCGTCAAAAACGACAACGGGCTAGCTCGTGGGGTCGCGGACCGTCTGTCAGTCGATTCTCTCTAGATAGGTGGCGACGGCGTAGGCCTCCTCGCATATCAAGAGAAAATACGCGTTCGTGACGCGGTTCGGGGCTGAGACAGGCTTACAGCAATGAGTACTCACTAGTTCGACTCCATCTGAGCGGACATACTATTCGGCAGCGAGACGTTCCAGTACCTAAGGGAGCGTGACAGTCCTGCGCCGGTTGACGTGATGCTCGCGTATGAGACGAGCGAGACGGTAGGAGACTTGTGCGTGTCACCGGGTGTCATCTCGAATGCCGAGCGACAATCCTTCGCTGCGAGAGTTGGTCGACTTCGTGTGCCCGTAAAACGTAGAACTGAAACGCACCTTCCTGGTGATGGGAATGACGAGCCTGGCTGTGAGCGTCTGCGAGAGCCTGTGTTGGTCGTGTTCGTGGCCGTCCGCGCGCTACCTATGGTGAGCGAAGACCCCGCACGGACATATTGAACGCGTGTCGAAGCCGGTGATCGACAGCGTTGGCTCCGGATGGATTTCGGAGGCGAGGGATGATGAGCAGTCTTTCAGCAAATCACGGATGAGATTAGTGTGCGGTTGAGCGGGACAGTAAGGCGTACAGATGTACTCTTCGGAGGATGTATGCGCATATGTTCGTGCGTCGTCGATGAGAACGGACACTGATCAAGCACCGCTGAGTTTGTAGAGCGATGGAAGGATGCCACCAAGACAAAAGACATGCACTACGAAGATATCAATGTTAGTCTACGGTTTCCGTAGGGAGTTTGAATTGATGCGTGCTGGGAAGTGCCCTTCCGACTTCAATATTGCGAAGGATCGCTGTGATAGCTTGTCGACTATAAAGCAAGAGCAATTAATGCGGGAGAACGGCAGCCTACAACAGAAAGCAAATGGATGGTAGCCCGCCGATGTCCACTGTCTAAACAAACGATAGCTTCCAACCCGTCGTCTACACATCCCCTGCCACGCCGCATTCTAGCGCAAGGCCGTGTGGAATCTGGTCATGTATAGCAAACCTTTCGGCGCTGAACGATCCAACTTATGTCGAGTAGGGGAACACGAGCAACATCGACCGGCCGCATCAAGTTGAAGCATATGCGTAAAATCAAAACTCACTCGGTACCCAGATCTCCACGAGCTTGAATCTCTCCGCCGGTAACGCGCTTCCTACACCAGCTTCCGAGAAGCACGAGGCCCGGGAGACATACGGTCGCGGTGGATGGCACAGGCTGTCACGAATCAGAACCAGGACGGCAGGGACAGCATCGAGGCCATTCAGAAGCGGACACGAAGGTTCGTGTGCAGGGAAGAGCACGCGCTGGCGAGTCGCAGAGGAGTGCTGATGTCAAGAACGGAGCGTGAGGTGATGAAAGTACCCGGAAGAGGAGTTCGAGGGATGCGTGAGACGTCGGTAGTACGCTGGCCTCAGAACGTCGCAGCCCTGTACAGTGTGCCCCAGGCCATAGACGAGTGGGCCGCGCAGTGTTGGCATATGCAGCGAGACAGGCTGTTGGAGCCTATGAGGGATGCAAGCACGGACAAGGGCTCCGATTGACGGTTCAAGAGGGGTGAACGCAGGTTCAAGCCATGGCGGTGGCTTGACGAGGAGGGACGAGGAGGGGATTCGTGAAGTGCCCGACGCGTGCATCACGTGCAGAAGCGCGGATTCAAGCCGTCATCGCGTCTGACACCATCCGCTTCAGGCTTGCCATCCAGGTCGTCGCAAGTACTCATTGAGTACTCACGCGCACGACTCACCTTCCTTGGTATGTCATTCGCTTCGAAGGGCTCATGCGTGTGGGCTCAGCGCATCCTCGGCGCCTGGAACCCCAGTGGCGCGCAGATAGAACCACTCTTCTGCCATAAAGTGACTGTGTCCCGGGCTTCGCGACCGCCGGGGCGTGTGGCTTGTGTTCTCAAGCCTGTGCCAACGCGCGTCCTAGTTTCGTTGACGCTGTTCTTCGCCCATGAGCGACAGGACTACTCGGTCCAGATACAGCATCCCTTCATGCTTACTGGTATGTGCAAGTCCGTCAACACTCCGTTCGTACTACCCGTTGACGATCTTCTGCAGAATCCCAATGGAGCAGTTCATGTTGAGTGGCACGACACACAAAGTCTTACGGTGCGAAAAGATAATCTACTTGTCGGTTTGGACGACTCGACCGTCTGTGCGCCGACGAGACGGTCATCTCGTCCTGTCAATGGACAGCCTTGGTGTCAGTCGCCATGCGGGGCTAATCTCATAAATGACAAAGCAGGTTCATTCTTAGCCTCTCATCGACATCGTGGGCGCTCGGTAAGCCCACTGAAGCACGTTCGATTGCCCAAGACAGCCGTACTTACGTGGAATCTGGTCAGAAGGGCAGATACTACCCAGCGCCCCCGGTGAGCGAGACATGCCGGGTGCGCCTCACACCTTTCTGCGAACATTGATTGTGGCTCGGACCTCATGCATCAGGACACGAACGACACCCTGCATCGAGAGGAGGCAATGTACATCCGCATTCAAGTCTTCCATGTCCTGAGCTCTACCACGTGCGCGCTTTCTACGGAATCCGGATGCATGGTCTTACAATAACCATATTTCGCAGAGAAGGCAGTGTAGCGCGAACACCGAGCGCTGTGTAACTGAACAGTTCAATGTGAGTAGTTAACCTTATATGCCCCTAAAAACAGCGCGGCTCATAACACGCGGCAAGCCTGTGCGTTCCCTCGACTCGGAGCCGGCCTCGTACCAATACAAAGACGCTGTCTCTTGCGCTCGAGTCCGCAGGTACTAGTCCGCTGCTTCCGCTCCCGTCGTTCTGCGCCTGCTCTGCGCGTTCCACCCGGCTGCTGCCGCTGCTTGCGATCCACGACACTCAGAACTTACCATCTATCCTCACGTTTGCCGTTGTTGCTTCGGTCGACTGCGCCCGACTCACCGCCCTCAAGCTCACGACTTTCCGAAGAGGTGAGTTTTCAGCTGAGTGGTCTCCGCATCCATAACCTGATACTTCTGCACTCTATACAGGGTACCGATCGTCAACTCAGATATCGCTCGAAGCTGTGAAGATATAGCGTAGTCGGCGAGGTACAGTTCCATTGTAATGGTGATCATTGAACCATAATGACCTGATGGCGGATACCAGATGGCGGACGCAGTCGATTGCGAAGAAAGCCACCGAAGGACATGCTCCGACAGTGCGGATTGCTACAGACGCCCACATACTCGAGGTATGCCTTCCGTTCGGTCCGCAGGCACTACTTGCTCGAATGACATTTTGACTCGCTTCGTCGACGCAGTGAACCTATCCGCGATTTCCGCAGGAGCTGATGACCGCATTGCGAGTTCCTCCGGTTGGATCCTTCACACTGACGAAGTGCCACCTGTTTGCCACGCTTGGTATCATGCTGCACTCGCGTCTCAGGTGGGACTCCCGCTCAGTTCCAGACCCGAGAAGCCTTGGACAGCTGCGCACATGCTCTTGTCAAATGGCAATCGACCATACGGCAAGAGATTCGCACTGTGACAATGTGGAGGACCCTCGAAAGCCTTTCATACGTGTCTTTCCGATGCGCTCCCCGGGTACGTTCTACCAAGGTGACGAGCCTATGGCTTCACTTCGACTACGCAGTCACCAGGCCACATTATCGTTCTTCTCTTCCTCTCCTACTATACCAGCGTCACAACACTTTCCTCCGGAGTGCTGCTTTGCAGTATAGCGGAAGTCCGTAGGATTTCCAATGCACTGCCGAGTCTCGAAAAGTGTCTCTCAGCGTCACACTGAAGCACCCACTTGCGCTTAATTCAGTGGCCCACCCCTCGGTCCGCAACAGGCTCAAAACAATCAGTCTTTTCCGAGTCGCTCGTAACGCATTTTCCCCGTCGGGTGCTCATCTCCATGAATACCGTCATCAATTCCTGTCGGACGTATGTGCCACGTATTCGTACGTAACAAAGCTAGACTTGGACCTGTCCTACTGCTCTTCGTTCTCACATCTTCATTGGCTTCTATGTCAATTCCCCCATCTGTCCTGCTTGGAGCTACAGCACACATTCAGCTCTGATGTCGAGCCTGCATCAGTGGCGGACATGGCCCTGTACTCAACACATGCACCCAATCCCTCCATGTTGGATTTCGAGCTCTACGATGTACCCGTGTCATGGGCGTCGCAGCTTACGAAGTTGGTGTTAACCCCACAAGCATGTAGCAAACTGGGCCCGGGAGCCCTGCGGTTTATAATTTTCGACCGGCATGCCAATGACTATGCACTGGCAGAGCTTGCGTCATGTGTTACAGAGGTTCTGCGTCTCGCCGGAGCTGGGCTCAGAAAGTTTGTATGGTCAGCCGTTTATGTTGCTCATGGTGAATGTTCTCTTCGCTTGTCAACGTGCTTGTCATTCTCATCGAAACTACAGCAGACTCAATGCGCGATGTTGTACCGCGACTTACTGCGAATACACTCCTGACAAACTTGTCAATGTCAATCCGCTGGAACAATCCATCCCTCTCGATGATCCAGAGGGGCCTGGGTACCTTGCTATCTGACATCCAAAGCCCGCATTTGGAGCATTTCAGCATTCGCATTGACCTGTACCCCGAGACGTCAGAAGATGGGGACAAAGCCTCCCTCAGCGAGACAGACCCTCCCGGCTCCACCTCCGCTTTCCACACTAAACTCTCTCGTAGTGTCTTTGACCAACTTCCAGGATTTTCTATGCCGGGCCGGCACTCGGAGTTCACTGGTGTATACATCGCGGTCGAGATGAGGGAGGCTGAAACCGCCACAATGTCTGCGATCAAGTCACACATGATCACTCTATTCGCGCCATGGCTGGACCGCGGAGTCTTACGGCTCTCTATCAGCCCCAATCCAGACGGTGAACAGTTCGTCACTCGTAATCCCTCATCAGTACACTCAGACCTTGGTGAGTGCCCTGACTCTGTCGTCTGTAAGGGCGCAGCCGCGATGCGCTCAGTGCGCTCATCCGTTTGACTAGGGCCGCATGCCAGCATCGTGGAGATACTACATGACTCGGAGGACGATGAACACGAAGGAGGCGCACGCGATGCCACTGGCAGTGGAGTTAGTACGGAGACGGAGGACGCAATTTCTCCGCAACCGACCGCGCGCGCGGAGTTGCGGGACTGATCTCGGGCTATCAAGAAGTTGTATGTCGCGCAATCCCTGTTACGGTGACGCATTACTCATATACCACCCAGATTTACGACCGAACTCGGAGAGAGTACCAGACCAAAACACTGCGTGTTGGTGAACGACGCTCGGCGCTGCAATTCAGCGGACATCTCGCTGCTTCAAGCTTGGCAGCCTTTCGCAGTCGAATTGCGTGACTCGTGCGCAAGATTCCTTGGAGTTGAAGAAGAAAGGACGTGCGGGACTAGGATTCGGGATTATGGATATGGCACACGGGGACAGGATGAAGAATATGTTTGCGAGGTCCGAGTCGTTCATGGACGTGCAGAATTCGCCGCGTACTGCTGTATGATCATCATATCTATTCTATGTGCTTCACTCGTACGGTGCAGCCTCGCGGAGGACGTATTGGTCAGTTGTCACTCTCAGCCGTGTGAGTAAGAGGTGAGAAAATCGCACACGAAGGCGGAGGACGATGCGACGCCGAAGCCCTCTAGACTCGCCCTGCGCGCAGTTGCCCACTTGCTACCAGGCATGAAACGTCGCGACTGTGCCAGTGGAACGAAGATCTCGTATACGCGTATCGCGGCGCACTTCGTCGATGACACTACCTGTGGTAGACTGTTTGTATCGAGCTCTACGCATGAGGTCTGAGTACGACGGCGGAGTCACAGGGGATCGATACCACTTATTAGGATCATATTTCTTGCTTACGATCTGGCTGTTTCTAGAGGTACGATACATTCATGGAGCAATGCTGCAGCTGATACGACAAAGATCACAAATGGTCGGGACGCACACGGGGGAGCAGAAGAACGGCAGAACTGACACGAGTCCGCGGGTCCAGATACACGTCCGATCGCGAGGGTGGAGGTCTGTGCCGTGCGACAGGAGCCGCAGAATGGTGGCCCAACGGCGGAGACGTCCTTCGCCAGTGGTAGATCCCTAGCGATCGATGAACGTTGCTGGTCGACGAACCACGCGTTCCCTCCACGGCGCTTGTGTATAGGTCGGGTACGAAAGGGAAAACAGGGTGAATGATGCGCCCGCTGCTCAGCCGCGACAGATTCTTGCCAGGCGTGACGTACGCGGTGGGGCCAGTTGGGCTGGGACAACCTCGCGAGACCTTCGAGTGGCACGAGTTCGGTATATGCGCGGTAAGAGGATAGGGACGGAGGTCTTCAGCTGCAGTGTCGCGACATACTTCGCCCATTCGTGGTCGTGTTGATGGTTAGACCTGAGCCACGTACTCCCAAGGCACCCCATGAGATATTCACGTTGCGCCCAACTAAGAGAAAACACGCACGCCCTTGATCATTTGATCTCGCGCATGGCACGGTCACCCACAGATAGTATCGCGACGCACAGGAGACGTGTATCCCACCCCGCGCGCGACGTGCGGACAGCCGAGGCTACGAAGATGCAGCACGGAATCATACAACCGCGCGCTGTCTTCCTGCGAGAGCACCAGCTCGTCGCCTGAGACGGGGGAGTGGGGCGAGAATTCGAGTACTTACCCATCAGCTCGAGGTACGTAGCAGACCCTCCGGAGGTGCTAGTCCCAAACACCTGGTGATGCTGCGTACACGATGGAAGACCCATGGGGAGCTCTTGAGTGTGAATTTGACTGGATGGAGAAGGGGTGTGCGTACAATTCATTAAGCAGCCAGGTGTTCAGAGCTACGCCTCCAGTGGGCGGGGATGACGGACGACCCCGCGCTTTCTGATGTTGTGGCGGTGGATGCGATGGGGCTCTGTGATAGATGATATATAGGCTTGTTCGCAGTAGGAATTTGACCAGCATACTTGGATCTCATCAGGCTCGAAAGAAGGCGCAACAGAACGAACGAGGCTCACCGGAACGACCCTGGTTGCCCTACAAGCCTCCAAGTACGTGAATTACCCCGAAGTTTGCGACTATACTGAAGCGCTGTTATTGGATCGCAGATCGTATGAGCAGACTGGAGGTGGAGAGGTGGGGATAGGCGGGCGTCGAGCACGCCAGCGGAGGACAAGGTCCGGAATGCAACGACTGGAAGCGGTATGAGCCTGCACACTCTGTCGACATGGAGAGGACTGAGTACTCACCGGTAATCAACCATGGAGCCTTTTCTCGCGTCGCACCGAGGAGGCCTCTGTGCGTACGCCGTGGATCAGACCTTCGGACTGCAGGAACACGCGTATGATATGACCTTCAGGTGAACGGCGGTGCACGGCCTGCCAGAGGGCGGGCGGGCATGAGACGCGGTGGGTGGTTCGGCGTTGCAGGTTGGCGGGCCAGTGAGCTCTGTTTGGGAGCGGACGACGGCGAGACGAGGGAGGTCAGACTCACTGATGCGGTCCTCGTCGGCGGTCACGCCGCCCCCGCCACACGCGCGCTTCTGCACGAGTCGAGGTCGCCGACTCGCCGCCACACTGCTTGTCGACACCCGCCACGGCGTGCGCGTGAGGGCAGTAATTGTGGTGGGCCTGTGCATCACCTCCGAGTCTGCCCTCGTACTCATCGGCACTGTATCTTGAGCTCACACATCATCTATCGTATCCCTGCTCTACGCTTGTCATCGAGCTCCTACCGCTGTTGCCAATTCACAGCATCGTCCAAAACCCGTCTAAACGGCATCTGCGCGACGTGTTACTTAGTCTGACACCTCTAAACTCACCCGAGTCATATCTGAGAACGTCGGAGGACGTTCTGCATATCAACCGTGGAGGTATATTTCTCATCAACGTGTATGGGCAACATCATATAACGACCTGATGGTCTAGGGAAGTACCGGTTCATGGCTGAGAGCGTTGACGGTGAAGACAGGCTGTTGGAAGGCCACGCTTTGGAAGTGCAGAAGTGCTTCAGACCACCCATCTACTCATGGTATGCCCTTCGTTTCTTTTGGTACCAGCTGCTTGAATAACATATTGAGTCACCGCGCGACCACAGTGATACATATCCGCAATTTCCGCAGGAACTGATTGATCTTATCTGCGAGTTCCTGCGGCTGGATCCTTTCACGTTAACGAGGTGCTGCCTCGTTTGCCACGCTTGGTATCAGGCTGCGCGGCACCTCTTCTGGCACGAAATGCTCTGGCTGTTCAGCCGTGAGGCCTTGGATGACTTCGCGCACACGCTCATCTCAAAAGGCAACCGATCGTACGGCAAAAATTTCGATAATTTGCATATATGGGAGGATCCTCGGCGGCCGATTGCGCACATCTGGCCGATGCGCATCCCCGGATATCTTCTGCCACGGGCGAAGGTGCTAGAGCTGTGCAACTTCGATTGGGCCGCGACCAGACCGCACGATCTGTTCTTTCGCTTCCTCTCGTACTACACCAGCATCACCACTCTGGAAATCAAGCAGAGCCGTTTTCGCGATGCGACGCAGCTCCGTAGGATCTTCAACGCGCTTCCGAGCCTCGAAACCCTCGTTCTCCATGGCGTTACGCTGCAGCACCCACTCACGCCGGGATCGGCGCCCAGCTTCGTTTCTTCGCGACGCAACAAGCTCACGACACTCCGTTTTTGGAACGAGGCTGACGTGCCCGCCGAGTGGGACGCTCACAAGCAGGCACACAGCCGATCCTTGCTGGATGTATGCTCCGCGTACTCGTCCGTAGTCGACCTAGCTCTGGACCTGCGCTACTACTCTTCGCTCTCCCATCTCCACCAGTATCTGCGTCACTTCCCCAAACTAGCCTGCTCGCGGCTACAGGATGCGATCAGCCCATATGCCATTGAACCCGCGATGGCTGCAGACATGGTCCCGGCGTACTCAGTCGACGCACCCGCTCTCTCGCTGTCGACGTTTGAACTCTCTGACGTGCCCATGCCGTGGGCGTCGCAGCTTTTGGGGCTGGTATCAACCCAACGAGCATGTAGCCGCCTGGACGACCTGCTATTCGCATTTAGGGACAGTACCCCGTCTGCGGAGCTTGTAGCCCGCATTACGGAGGTGCTGCGTCTCGCCGGAGCCGGCCTCAAGACGCTCCGGTGGAGGGGTGATCTCACTGAAGGTAAGAGGCCTGCTACACTTGTCGTTATACTTATGATCGCTCATTGCAGTGAGGCTGCTGTAGACGAAATCCACAAGGGTTTTCCGCAACTTGGAGCAAGCACATCACTGACAGGACTTGCGGTGGAACTCCGCCGCATCAGCTCGTCGCTGCCGAGGATCCAGACGGTTCTGGGTACCTTGTTGACTGACATACAAAGCCCGCATCTGGAACGCCTCCACATAACAGTCTACCTGTCCCACTACGAGACTACTCAAGACGGAAGCGAACTCGCCGAGACAGCCCCTCCTCCGGCTGACTCTATACTCACTTTCCACGACATCCTCTCTCGCAGCGTTTACGACAATCTTCCGGTGTCTGCTGCCGCGGCCGATGCCAGCCAGTCCTACGCGGATGTATGCATTGAACTCGTGATGGAGGGATCGCAGCAAAGCGCTGCCGGGATGTCTACGATCAAAACATACGTCATCGCGCTGTTCGCGCCGTGGCTGGATCGCGGGGTCTTGCAGCTCCGCGTCTTTCCCGATCCTGACGGCGAATGGTCCGTCACTCATGTTCCCTCATCGGTACTCTCTGGTGAGTGTCTATTTCCACCGTCCGTGGATGCGACTCGGATCTGTTCGGTACGCTCACGCGCTCGACCAGAGACGCACGTCAGTATCACGGAAGTATGGGACTCGGACGACAATGAACACGGAGGCGAGCGCGATGTCAGCGGAGATGCAGAGATAGAAGATGCAAAGGTATCTGTAGCATAGACGGTGTGCTTATTTTGCAGGACCGACCGTCGTTATCCTAGACCTCCACACAATGATACCATTGGAACGTGTTGCCAAGATCAGCCCTCGGACGACGCGATTGAGTCTAACCCCGGGTCCTCGAATTGTACGACGCAACACGTCGAAGCAGCGGTGTCTACTAGTAGATCACGAGCACGGAACGCGTCCGCGGCGCCGTTCAGCTCTAAGGGAGCTTTTTCCTGAAGAGCGTCACGTGTATACACCTGTTGTCAAAGTGGTCGCTTGATTGTGCGAGTCCGACTGCGATGGGAGCTTGTTGTATGAAGTGAGTTCGTATCGTTAAACTTACAACATGACTTCCGAGACTTACTTCTTTGTTCTCGCCACGCATTCGAAGTTCAGATACACACATCTGCGTCACTCCATCGGTAACGCGCTCTCGGGGCAGGACGGAGGATATCAGTGATGCGGTCCTCGTCGGCGGTCACGCCGCCCCGCCCCCGCCACGTACAGCGGGCTCTTCGGTCTCGTTTGGCTTATAGCGGGTGATACTTGCGTGGCAGGGCATTGCATTGTCGTGCTAGAGCTGGCCTGCGTCTATTGTCTACGCAATCACTGAATTGATCGCAGTGCGCGTCTAGAAACCGACAGAAACTCAGTCTGCGCAAGCACGCAGTGAAAATGATGCGCGAATGCTTCAGCGGGGCGTGAGTGGTGATCACATTGGTAACCGTCAATTTACCATGTCGGGTAGAGTTTATTCTTTGAAAGACAGCACGACCGTGTGCGGAGACTGTGGGAGGCAACTGCATAAATTGAACGTTTGTGGGCCAAATGTGGGCGGTTGTGGGACGCGATGGTCTCGTACCGACGCTTCTCGCTCGACTCGGGTTCGACGGTAGCTTGCGTATATGCGGTCCGAAGTAACAGCAGGCGGTGCGACGACGCAGAAACATACGTGACGTTTTCCGGAGAGCAAGCAAGCACTCTCGGAGTGGCCAAGAGGCAGACTGGAGAGCAAGATCGCACAGAATAAGCAGGATGAGTTTGAGACATTCACAACAAGGCTTACAAGTCCAAGATCGTAGTTGTTCCGTACTCATCAAACAGATGGCATACACCCAAGCCACGTTGACCCTCCGAGTATCGCCGGAGCGGTGATGAGTAGGGTCTGTGTACCGGGCGAAAGTGACCAATTCGGGCGCGGAAGCACACATCTCCACACTCTATCATTACGTTGTTGCGTCCGACCACGATACTGATGCACCCCGGAATACCCGCATCTGTCGAAAGATGTCCGCGCGGATGTTGCGGCCCCGAATAGGTGCGTCACATCTAGGACGCCGGAAGTAAAAGACAGGGGCTATGAGGCCGCGGAAGCGAGTCGGAAGCAGAGACATGGGTGCGCGAGAGTCCCCATCTGGGCGATGCCGTTGCGGTTGTGATGAAGGACGAGGGGGGACGAGGAGAAGGAAGAGGGCGAGCGAGACGCGCTCGGGGCGCGTCTGTCTGAACCGGCGCGCACGCGGCCGCGGCGACTTCATACCTGCGCGGAAGTTGCGTCGCGTCTTGGCTGCCGCCACCTCCCACCCGTCCGTTATATAGCAAACAAGCTCTATCCACCCTCATTCTTTCCATCTCTTCGCCATGGCCCCAGTCAAAGTCACGAAAGTCTGCTGCAGTGCGTACGCCGCGTCCTGCTCGTCGTGCTCACACTGACCAGCTGTTCTCGCGGGATAGTCGGCGCCGGATATGTCGGTACGCGGAAGCTTCTCCGTGTGAGCCGTGCACTCTTCTCAACGCGCTCTCTCTAGGTGGCCCTACGTGCGCCGTCATCGCGCTGAAATGCCCGCACATCCAAGTCACCATCGTCGACCTCAACCAGGCGCGTATAGACGGGTGGAACAGCCCCGACTTCGACCTCCCCATCTATGAGCCCGGCCTCGTCGACGTGGTCAAGCAGGCCCGCGGGCGCAACCTGTTCTTCTCGACTGACGTCGACAAGGGCATCCAGGAGGCAGACCTCATCTTCGTCAGTGTCAACACACCCACGAAGAAGAGCGGTGTCGGAGCGGGATTCGCGGCAGACCTGAAGTGCGTACACTCCCTTTGGTCCTCTATGCACGCAGGGCGCGTTGCACATTATCATTATCACCGCATATATGCGTCTTGGGGATGCTTCGGCGGGTGCTCGGGGCTGCCCCGCATCCACCCCCTGAGGTGCATCTCTACGCGGGCGTGCCTCTTACGTCCCAGCGGCGAAATGTCTGCGTAAATCGTACGATGTTCTCCGTGGCCGCCCGCACATTTCGAGCACTAGTGTATCGGCCAGCGCCAGCTGCCTGTTATGCTCGCCCCTGGTGTCGGAGGTTGTAATGACGCAGGTTCTCGAGTGGCCTGGGTTGCACATTTAGCCCGCTCTCAGGTGCGGTGGCTCGCACTAGGCAGAAGCAGGCCTTTCCAGTACTGTCTGTGTCTGGATGTTAAATGACAGCCTTCGCCTCAGCGGACCCTATCGTGCCGCAGACTTTTCCACATGCCGTGGGCATAGTTCGGGTGTCCGTCTGCGGCCAGGTTTGACATGGTGGCGGTCATTCGTCTTCGCGGCGCATATACGCAGAGAATGCAGAGAATGCAGGGTATGCAGTCCGAACGGTGATGTTATTAGCAGGAACACTTGACGAGGGCCTCGCTCCGACAGGAAAATGTGTAGCGTGTGATACATTTATTGGTTTTCTGCCTGACCAATCCGAATTTTCTTCAACGGATTGTACTCGCATGCTGACATTGTAGAATAGCTATGTCGAGCTCGCTACACGACGCATCGCAGCTGTCGCGCACTCTTCCAAGATTGTCGTCGAGAAGTCGACCGTGCCCTGCCGGACCGCCGAGTCGATGCGCACCATTCTCGAGGCCAACTCGCGCCCGGGCTGCCGGTTCGACATCCTCTCGAACCCCGAGTTCCTCGCAGAGGGCACCGCGATCAGCGACCTCTTCAAGCCCGACCGCGTACTCATTGGCTCACTGCAATCGCCCGAGGGTAGGGGCGCGTGCGAGGCGCTCGCGGAGGTCTACGCGAACTGGGTGCCGAAGGAGCGCATCCTCACCGTCGGCCTGTGGTCCTCGGAGCTCTCGAAGCTCGCCGCGAACGCGATGCTCGCGCAGCGCATCTCGTCGATCAACGCGCTGTCCGCGATCTGCGAGGCGACGGGCGCGAACATCGACGAGGTCGCGCATGCGATCGGGTTCGACTCGCGCATCGGGCCGAAGTTCCTGCGCGCGTCGGTCGGGTTCGGAGGGTCGTGCTTCCAGAAGGACATCTTGAACTTGGTGTATTTGAGCGAGAGCTTGCACTTGCCCCAGGTCGCGGCGTATTGGCGCCAGGTCGTCGAGATGAACGAGCACCAGAAGAGTCGGTTCTCGAAGACCGTTGTGGATACGCTGTTCAACACCATCACCGGCAAGGTGCGTGCGTCGTAGGAGGTTCAGCTATGTTGATGCTTACAGGTCCCATAGCACATCGCCGTCCTTGGGTTCGCGTTCAAGGCGGACACTGGTGACACGCGCGAGTCGCCGGCCATCTCGCTCGTCCGCGACTTCCTTTCGGAGCGCGCCTACGTGACCATCTACGACCCGAAGGTCGAGGACGCGCAGATCTGGCTTGACCTCGCCGAGGCGTGCCCACTCGTGCCCTTGGAAAACAGTATGTTCTTGTCCAATGGTGATGCCAAACGTGGTACTGACGCAGATGCATGTGTTCCCAGTCAAGAAGCAAGTTACCATCGCCCGCTCCTCGCTCGAGGCGTGCAAGAACAAGGAGGCGATCGTCATCGCCACCGAGTGGAAGGAGTTCCGCGAGATCGACTGGGAGACGGTCTACGCCCATATGAACAAGCCCGCGTTCGTGTTCGACGGGCGCATGATCATCGACGCGGATGCGCTCAAGAAAATTGGCTTCAAGGTATGTTCGCGTCCTTCATGACTGTAAACTTGGCTGACGTGTTTGGTGCAGGTCAAGATTATCGGCCGTGGTGACAGGCTGTGATAGACGTCGCATTGTAGACGTATTTATTGTCATTGAACGTGGCGCGTTAGAGCATGTGCAAGTAATGGCCGGGATAACGGATACCAATAGCCTACATTGTGGATTGTAAATCAGACAAGGTCTTCGGGAGTTTCAATGCGATTGTTGTATAACTGCAATCTTGCGACGAGGCTGTCGAAACGAAGTCTACTTGAAGAGCAACTGGGTCAAATTTGAGCTGTAGCTTGGCTGTAGTAAGTTACCAGTAGTAGCAGCGGTGAAGTATCTAATTAGCTAACTCCTATTAGCGGCTCTTACGTAATCGAGGGCGCGCCCTTTCCCTGGCGCCTGGGATGAGCTCAGTCTCGATCGACGACCACAGCGTGCTTAGAACCAGCCTACACGACGATCTCCAACATGCCCCTAGCGAGCACCAGCGGCACGAACGACGTCTGGGAACAGTCTCAGGTAGGCCTCTGTGTTGGCAGATGCGTCGAATGACTAGAAATTTAATATTAGCCAGATACATCCTCTGCCGCGCACCGCGTGAAAGCTAGAGCTCCTGCCGCGGTCGTTCGCGACTCTTGGGATGACGACGACGATGACGGGGTGGAGGAAGAGGAGAACTCTCAGGCGCTATGGGAGAACGCGTGAGTCTCGTCGTATGTTGTGAAACCGCACCGTGTGGCTAAATCGGTGGAATTGTATCCTCAGTAACCGAAAGGCACCTATGCCCGAGCTAGTCGTCTCCGGGTCGGGCAATAGTACAGTTCTGCCACCACCCCCTGCAGCGTTCCAGCCCACACTGAAGATTCTCAAACGACCGACTGGCGCATCCTCGTCTGCTGCGGCGTCACCACCGTCTGTCGACCTGCAGAAGTCGTTCGCGGAAAGGGAGGCGCAGTATCAGGCTGCGCGGCAGCGTATATTCAACGACGGCCCGCGACAGAGTGGACGAAATGGTCTGTCCACCGAAGTGGGGCGGGATACCAATGCGATGTCGCAGTCTCCACCGGCCGCGGACGTGAGCGTGAAGGTACTTCGGGCCCCTCGAGGGCCGTCGACGGATCCTGCCGCCTCGTCGACCAACTCCAAGCCGTCACGAGGATTCGCGGGGAAGCGGGGAGGGCGCGGTGCACCACGCGGGTAATATGCCCTTTCCTACGCGTTACAGGGGAGCAAGGCCGGTCAGAGGGCTGCTCATCATGGATATGTCGTCGTTGTGGCGGTTGCTGTGTAGGTAGGGAACATGTGCTGCTGTTCGGATCATTGTTGTGTCTCGTAGCTTTTCCATTTTTGCTCTGGTCATGAATCCTATCTTGCAGATCAAGCATGCTGGAATCATCAGAGCTGTGCGCTCGTCGGCGCCGTCTTGGTGATGGCAGTACATGTCGCATTATAATACGCACCATAGCATAGAAGAGTTGAAACACCGCCACAATGCTATCAACGGGGAGCGCCCGAGGCTAGAAGGGTATCGTGGGGAAATAAGTTCTTCGCGCGCCAGACGGTTGCGGTCGTGGGGCGCGTTCATCTTGCTCAGGCACCACCACCATCTCCGTCCCTCCCCGTGAAAAGAGGTTTCGTCGTCCAGCGCGGTCCACGGCCATGCCATCACGACCCTCGCCCATGGCCTTGCAGAGTTCGTCGCCGCAGCCGTCGATTTTCAGGAAGAAGTCGACCCCCGCCATGTCCACTGCCGCCTCCTACCTCTCCGCTGTCTCCGAGGCCGACGCCCGCGCCCGCGCCCACGGGGGCTCGCCCAACTCGACCCCCGCCCTCTCCCTGTCGAGCTCCGTCACGACGAGCAGCTCCGACACGGTTCTGGAAGATCCCGGCGCCGAATTCGAAGATGCGCTGTCGTACCCGCGCAACCCGCCCACCAGCGAGCAGGTCTTCACGACGGTGCACTCCGAGTTTGGCCACTGCGCCAACGAGAGCTATCGCTATACCAGTCAGCACAAGACCGGCACGCCCTACCGCAGCTACCCCGAGCAGGACCCGCCCTACTATATCCTCCTCACTACATACCTCAGCTACCTCATGGTTATCTGCCTCGGGCACCTGCGCGACTTCGTTGGCAAGCGCTTCAGGAGGTCTGCGTACAGGCATCTCCTAGCACACGATGTGAGTGTACTTCTGTTCTTTCCGTGTATGGCTGCTGGGAAGCTACCCATGGGGAAGAGTCCCATGTAACCTGGCAGAGGGTCATGTGGGCTCCTCCGATCCTCGATGGCGTCGACCTTGCGCAATTTCAATCTGCGGCCCCTAGTAGCTTGTACACGGATTCTCAGCCGTAATTGTTCGCCAGGCTGTGATGCTGACATTGTGCACGTAGGGTTACGCAGCGCTCAACTCCGACTTCGACTCCTTTTATACCCGGCGGCTCAAGACCCGCATTGACGACTGCTTCTCGCACCCTGTCACCGGTGTTCCCGGGCGGACGATCATGCTGCTCGACCGCTACTCACCAGACTACAATGTCACCATGTTCCCGAGCGGCACACGCACGCGCGGGCTGAACATCTCCTCTTACAACTATCTCGGTTTCGCTCAGGCCCGCGGTGGGTGCGCCGACGCGGTGGAGGCGTGCATCAACCGGTACGGTGTTTCACCGTGCGGGACGCGTCTCGAGGGTGGTTCGCTGGATCTGCACGCACAAGCGGAGGGACTCGTCGCACGGTTTATCGGACAGGAGGACTCGATGATATGCAGCATGGGCTTCGCGACGAACTCGACGGTCATCCCCGCCTCGTCGGCAAAGGCAGCCTTGTCATCTCGGACGAGTTCAACCACGCATCGATCCGGTGGGGCGTGCGTGTGAGCGGCGCGAACGTGCGGACGTTCAAGCATAATAACATGAAGTCGCTCGAGAACCTGCTGCGGGAGGTGATCAGCCAGGGTCAGCCGAAGACGCACCGACCGTGGAAGAAGATCCTCGTTATCGTGGAGGGGCTATTCTCGATGGAGGGCACGCTTGCGAACCTTCCGGTGATCATGGAGCTCAAGAAGAAGTACAAGGTGCGTCTTAAACCCTTGATCACTCACACGAAGCTGACCTCCGCTCCTTCGCAGTTCTATCTCTTCGTAGACGAGGCACACTCCATCGGCGCTCTCGGCCCGCACGGTCGCGGTGTTGCGGACTACTTCGGTATCAACCCGCGGAACATCGACATCCTCATGGGCACGTTCACGAAGTCGTTCGGTGCGGCTGGAGGATACATCGCTGGCTCGAAGGCGCTCGTTGACAGGCTGCGTCTCCGCGCGCACACGGGGACGTACACGGAGGCGATGACCCCGCCGGTGCTCATGCAAGTTATCGCGTCTATGGCCAGCATCATGGGTATCTCGCCCACCCCGTCTTCGGGCGCCGCGGCGCTGGAGGTC